TGCGCTAACCAGCTTTGCAGATGCATGAGATAAGAGGAAATCCCTTTTGGACTTTATCTCCAGTTGCTCCAACTATAAATACAGGTGGAGGCAAAGGAGAAGCCTCCTCAAGAGAAACCAACCAGCCTGCAGAGCTAGTTAGGTAAGTAAGTAAGGAGAGAAGGGCTTTTTTTGCAAATCTGCGTAGGGCGGCCGGAGTGGGGTACATTTGGGACATTTGCTTAATGCCGTTCTTTCCACTATCTGCCATCAAGTTGACTTTGACTTTTGGAGGCCCCCAAGGCATCCCTGTTATGACCAGGACAACTCAGGTCTTGCAAAGTCAAGGTAGCCATCTTGTTGTTATGTGCCTCCGACTTATGGCAACCCTCCCCTGGGGTTTTCTTGGCCGTATTTCTTCTGAAGAGGTCTTCCTCTGAGGCTGAGGCTGCATCCACACTGGAGAAATAATCCAGTTTAATACCACTATTACTTCCATGGTTCAGTGCTATGGAATTGTGGGAACTGCTATTTGCTGTGGCACCAGAGCAAAGCTCTTGGAATTGCTTGAATTCCACAGCATGGAACCATGGCAGTCAAAGTGGTGTCAAACTGGGTTATTTTTCCAGTGTGACCACAGCCTGAAAGAGTTTGGCTTGCTCAGTGGGTTTCCTTGGTTGAGCAGGGGATTTGAATCCCATTGCGCCATGCTGGCTCTTGCAAGACAACTCTGATGGCAACCCTAGCCTAAGCTTCCTTGGCAAGATTTGTTCTGTGGAGGTTTGCCTTGCCATCGCCTTCCTCAGAGGCTGAGAGAGTGTGACTTGTTCAAGGTCTCCCATTGGGTTTCCATGGCTCAGCAAGGATTTGAAACCTGGCCGCTCAGAGTCCTGGTCCAGTATTCACATCATGATCCCAGTCCAGATCTCCATCTTTTCCTCTTGCCTTCCACCTTTTCCCAACATTACCAACTTTCCCCCAAAGTTCGTATCATTTCATGATATGCCCAAAGTACAATAGAGAGCCTCAGTTGAGTCATTTTGGCATCCAAGCCACAATTCAGGCTTCATTTCATTTTGATGAGAACCATCCACAATGAAGTGCAATTATAAAAGATAGCAATAAATGCAAAACTGGATGCTTTGTCGTGAGCTTGGAAACAACTAGTTAAATCCAACTAGTTAAGAGCTCATTAGTTGCTGCTGTTTCCCCCATGGAGGCTTAAGGAATTAATCGCTTGGTTAGTAGGCATTCACTATCAAAGTCTGGAAAGAAGTGGTTACATTTAATTAATTGTTTGCTGGTTAACACTGCTCCTGTGGTGCAATAGATAAGATGTTTGGGTTTCTTAGGGTGCATCTGCATTGTAGAAATAATGCAGTTTGACACCGCTTTAAGTGCTGTAGCTCCATCCTATGGAACTGTGGGATCTGCATTGTTGTTATTATTTATTTATTTATTTATTTGTTTGTTTTGTTGGTGCCTCACAAAATGACAAATGCCAGGATTGTGTAGGATGGAGCCATGGCAGCTAAAGTGGTGTCAATCTGCATTATTTCTACAGTACAGATGCACCCCTAATCATTGCTAAAGTGCTCTCAGTTGAAAGACAGTGGTTATAGAGTATACTTTGCATGCAAATACATGCTCTAACATTGACCTTTTCAGGTTATGTTTGTTAGTATTCTGTAGAAAATTCTGTAGAAAAATCCTCTGCATATGCTCAGATGCTCTCAAAATATTTGTGATTCTCCACGCTTGGTCCACTGTTGCTTCATGTCTGCAGCAGCTCTGTGTCTTTGAATAGGAACTGCATCTACACTGTAGACATAATGCAGTTTGACACCCCTTTAATGGTCATGGCTCCTACAGAATCTTAGGATTTGTAGTTTGGTGAGAGTGGTGCAGTGGTTTGAGTGTTGGACTACAACTCTGGAGATCAGGGTTCGAATGAATCCCTGCTTGGCCTTGGAAGGCCACTGGGTGACCTTGGACAACTCACACTCTCTCAGCCTCAGAAGATGGCAAACTCTGTCAGAAGAAACCTGCCAAGAAAACCCTGTGATAGCGTTGCCTTAGGGTTACCATAAGTCAGAAATGACTTGAAGGCACACCACAACAAGAGCCATTGCTTTAGGAAAGTCTTCCCCACCTGGCAGTTTTTAGGTGCGTTCCACTGCAAATCCCACCATCCCCAGCTTTTGGTAGTCTAACAGGTTGGGGGAATGCAACTGACCTACCCTTTTGCCTGGAGGAGGGAGCACCTTGATTTGCAGAACATAGTTGGAGAAACTTGTATTTTTAGACGTTGCTGAGAAACACCTGCAGATTGGTTGCTAAATGCACAAGAGCAAGGAGGAGAACCTATATTTCTAAAAGTGGCTGAGAAATACCTGCATATCATTCTGTTCTTAAATGCACAAGAGCCAGGGCTGATAAAAGAAGTTGACCTCCCAGAAGAAATGGGGCAGTCTTCTATTTTGCAAAGTCTGCTCCTAAAGGACACCTGCGTGGTCCACCTCTAAGGAGTCTCCTTTCTATTCTGGGGTCCTTCTAGATTTGCTTTGGATGAGTGTCCGAGGTCCAGGGAATGAAGCCAATGCCAAAGATCATTGGAAGCCCTGGGTTAATGAGTGACCAGGGCAGGGTGGTCACTCCATCCATCCTGACCTCTCTCGCCCCATAAATGGATCTCCTTATGCCTCTGACTCACGATTCCCAATTTTCCTGCCTTTCAGAGCCTTGGGTCCTTTTCCACCATGAAACGTGGGGCTATTTTCCTCGCCTTGACCATTTTGACAGGTGAGTCCCTCAGTCCGGTTCCCCCACTTTTGCCTCTCCATCTTCTTCACCCCAAAAAAGACCCCATTCTCTTTGCACTCTTCAGCGTATCTCCAGGTGCATCTACATGGTAGAAATAATGCAGTTTTGATGCAACTAATTTAATTTCCCTAAACTTCCCAGATTCTCTCTTCTAGGAATCCGAGGCTGGATATTTGCTGGACATTTGCCATATCAACATTTTGGGATCCCATAATAATTGGCTTCAGCGTGAGGCCCTTCTACACACAGAAGAATTAACGCAGTTCGATAGAGCTTTAACTGCCGCGGCTCAATGATATGGGATTCTGGGATTTGTAGTTTTGTGTGATATCTAACCTTCTCTGTCTCTGGTGCTACAAATCTCCATTGGATGGAGCCATGGCAGTTAAAGCAGTATCAAACCTCATTAATTCTGCAGTGTGGTTTCAGTCCCTGATAGATCTCTAAAACAAACTGCAATGTCATTTTCGTATATGACTATTTCTTCTGCTAGCGGACGATGTATTCTCTTCCTTATCAAAACAAATAAATAGCCTTTATTTAAATTTAAAGAGCAGGACAGTTTAATGGCTTGACAAGATAGAAGTAAGCTCCTTTGGGGTGCCAGCACCAAAAAGACAATAGACCATCTTTCTTTCTTTCTTTCTT